ACGATTCAGAGCATCATTGTCAATGCCCACTATAGGGCGTAACCATTGCAAATCGCCAAGTAATTTTTGGGCATCATTCAAAGTCCGAATTGCTGTATGAATTTCCAATTTTTGTGGGTGAACCTGAGAGTCTGTGATTTGCCACCCTAGGTACTGCCAGGGTGGTTTCTGTTGTATTTTCTCCTGGGCGATCACCAGACCTCGTTCTTTTAGCGTTGCGTCCAAAAATGCTATCTGTGACACCATAAAGGGAAGCTCTTGTGCAATCAGGATATCGTCCATGTAATGATAGATTACCGCATCGGGCCAGGCAGATCGAACGGGTCGTAGGGCATCGTCCACGAATAGTTGACAGAGTGTGGGACTATTCTTCATACCTTGGGGAAGGACTACCCACTCAAATCGCTGAGCGGGCGCCTCCTTGTTAATAGATGGCAGAGTAAAAGCAAAACGTTGACTGTCCTGAGGATGTAAACGGATAGTATAAAAACAGTCCTTTAGTAGATCTATAATAAGAAGATACCATTTTTCCGGCAGCATGGCTGGGTTTGGCAGGCCAGGCTGCAGCGCCCCCATAGGCTGCATTTGTGCATTGACTGCACAAAGGTCATGCAGCAGCCTATTTTTACCTGACTTTTTCTTGATCACAAATATGGGGGTGTTCCAAGGGCTCGTTGACAACTGCAGATGTCCCTGTCGAAATTGTTCCTGTACCAGTTCATGTGCCGCCGACAGACTTTCCCTTTTTAGCGGCCACTGCTCTTGTGCTGGGGCCGCTACTGTTGTCGTCGCGCGGCGGCTCGGCGTGCTCGGGCGACCGTTTCCCGAACGACAGCAAGCGATCGTGTTGTGGGATTTGCTCTGGCAGGAGTCGCACCACACATTGTTTGCTCAACAATGCTTTTGGATGTGTCCTTCTTGGCCACAACGGAAGCATTTGTTCCCTCTGGCCGACGATTGCCGGGGAGGCTGCCAAGGTCGTTCAGCCGGCCGCAGGGGAGCCAGAGCTGCAAATGCCTGTTGCTGAGCTTGCACTAGATCCCTACCAACATCTCGTCTAATAGTGGATGATGTTCACTGTTTTTTAGTGAAATAGATTTAGCTGGTCCCTGTCTTGGGTTTTATTTTATCCCTGTCTCCAGTAGTACACAGTTAAGACCAAATGGATGAATACTGTCTTGTTTTGCTGTTGTAAGTAGTAGAGACAGCCACTTCTTTCACAGAAAACAAGTGATTCTGACTGAATGAAGCTGTTCTTCCTTTTGCCCAAAAGTAAATGGGTTTCCTTGGCTGTTTTCAAGATAGACTTTTAACAGGATATTATCTTTCAAATTATTTCAAAGATGATTAAGGGAGCATCTGTCATATGAGGAAAGACTAAGCGAGCTGGGCCTGTTTAGTCTGGAGAAGAGAAGGCTGAGAGGAGATTTGATCAACATGTTCAAGTACCTGAGGGGTGAATGTAGGGAGGATGGGGCCAGGCTCTTCTCTGTGGTGGCTGGTGACAGGATGAGGGGTAACAGGTGTAAGCTGAAACATAGGAAGTTTAATCTCCATATGAGGAAGAACTTTTTTACTGTGAGGGTGACAGAGCCCTGGAACAGGCTGCCCAGAGAGGTTATAGAGTCTCCTTCTCTGGAGATCTTCAAAACCTGCCTGGATGCCACCCTGTGCCACATGCTCTAGGTGTCCCTGCGTGTGCAGGGGGATTGGACTAGATGATCTCTAGAGGTCCCTTCCAACCCTAAGCATCCCGTGATTCTATGCAAGAGTTGTGAAGAACAATAAAGAACAGCTTGGTTTACCATTTTAGGCATAAAGATCTAAGTCTTGAATGGGAAAGTATATTTGAAGACTTCATTGAGCATGCTGAATAAATACCAAGATTTCTTAGTTTCTAAAGGTGGATGTTCTGTAGTAGTGGAACATCTACATGGAGCAGAGAAATTAATCAAGTGGAGTAGATGGCAGAAGCACTGCAAGTTACCTGATTACTCAAGTAGTCTGTTTAGGGAGCAAAACCAACCAAAAGCAGATAGGCTGCTGTTACAAGACAGAAAACTACCTACTTAGAGGCCTAAATCATATCCACTCCCCTCACTTTTAAAGAAAGGCTCACATATCACTATTAGTGCCCAAATGTCACAGTTAGGTACCTATCCCTTCCCAAAAGTCATCTACTTGAGCTGTACAGCTGCCTTTCCTGCACCTTTCTTCGATATTCAAAAGGATAAAGGGAACATGATCTCATGTGCGGGTGGTGGAGGAATACGCTGAGTTAAGACATCTCAATATGAGTGATAAGCAGTATTCACTTTATTGCCCGAGACAGCGCACATTTATACAGTTACAGCTTGAGCATGCCAACGTGTCAGTCGGTAATTGGTTGCTAGCGGTATTTGATTGTTTATTAGAAAGATTACTTCAGTCTGGCCAGCCCAGATTACGGTCGATAAGCAATGCAGCTTCTTCATTCTTCCTGCCTTATCCCCTCAAAGTTGTTTACGAAACTAGCCAAGGACAGAGTGTCCTTGCCTTACCAGCACGTCGTCAGCACTTTTCTCCTGAGGCCTAATCTCCCAGAAGGCCCTGCTTGCTCAGTTGCAGGCCTGAACCAAAGTCAGTGGATTCATACTCATGTCCACGCTCTCGTAGCCAATCCCCAACAGTTCACCCTGCCACAGAGTCTTGAGTGTTTAAACTGACAGTACGTGAAATGGTTTCAACAGACTAATTTGACAGAATACCAATTAAATACCAAAAATACAAAGCGTTTCACAGCTCTGTACTTAAAACATTTCATTTTCTATGGTGTAAATGTGTTACTGACTGTCTTGCACACAACTGAATGTACATGTTATGTTTACTGTTAAAGAAAAATGTTGTTAAAACTTACGTATGCATATCATTTCAGTCAACCAAAGCTGTGACATAACTTTTTTATGTGCTCCTAAATACAAACAAGATCACTGGAAGCTTCTAGCCATTTTGTTTTCTCTTCTATGAGTCTATTTGAAGCATGTTGAGTAGTCTCAGTGGCAAAGAATAAGCCATTAATGTATGGATAAGCCAGAATTTCTCTGGGGGGTAGGTGAAATAGCTTGTAAAAAAATAAGGGTTTATCATTGTCTGTTGTTGAAAGTGGCCTTCAAAAAGGTAGACGGAACAGTCACTTTCTCTGCAATGCTTTCTAAAGGTCTTGCATGGTAACATAAAGTATGTAACAACTGTGAGTGCTTCTCTGTGGGATTTCTGAAGGCCAGTGGTCATGCTGTGAGCAAGCCAGACAGGCGCCAAACCTAGATAAAAGGGCAGATAGGTGCCAGGCCTAGATAAAAGGACAGATGGGTGCCAGAGGGGCACCAGGGTGCCGGACCTAGCTGAAAAGGATGAAAAGACTGTTGAATAAAAGATAAGGAATCCCCCCGACAATCAGATAAGGAGTCAAAGAGTTGAGACAAACAGGAAGAGGGGGACGGTCATTAAAGTTAGTTAGCCTATCACACTGTATAGTTAGATGCGTAGACGTGGGGTCTTAACCAATCATTGTAAAGAAGCGCTCGCGTGTACAGGGAAGTCTTGCATATAAGCGCGCTTGGAACCCTGAATAAACTGGCACTGCTTGATCACATTGATCGTGTCTGTGGTGTCTGAGACCCCCGTGTCGACACTTCTCTTTTTCCTTACTACTCTGGCCATGTGGGCTGCGTCAGGCTGTTTGGCCAAGTGCTCTGAGCTGTTCCTTTCACTTAATTATTACTATGCTATATGACACTAAAGGTCCTCTTAGTTAAAATATATATATATTATGTATATATATATATATATATATACACAAAAATCTTGCTATAAGCTCACTTGGGCCTTTTGTTTTATTTGCCTTCAGATTCTTGAAAAATTTCTTATTTCTCTTTGGTGGGTATATATATATATATATGCACAAAAATCTTGCTATAAGCTCACTTGGGCCTTTTGTTTTATTTGCCTTCAGATTCTTGAAAAATTTCTTATTTCTCTTTGGTGGGACAGGGTTAAGCTGGAATATTTTTAGACTTGAAGGACAGTAGTCTGGGAAATATTTTAAATTATTTATGAATTTGAACTAAGGGATTTGTAGTCATTTTTGAAGAGGACTTGCACGATAAGTGGAGAGTTATGAAGTACTGAGCTCTGCACAGGGGAAATCAAACCAAAAGTGATACTCTACTTCCCTTTCCCAGTAATTATTAAATATTACAGTGTTGGACACTCCATCTTTCCTTTTTCACGTTTTTTTACCTCCTTTGTTGGATACAAAGGAACACATTCAGCCTTTCACAAGTAGCCATAATTCCTCCTGAAGTCAGCTTAATTACACTAAAAGCGAATTTGGCTCAGAAAGGAAATCAAGGAATATTTTTCACACTCTCTAAAATTCATATTACTACTGCTGCATGAAAGATAAGGATGGGATTTTATTCAGTGGCATACTTCAGACATTTGGGTTAGATTTTCAGTAAGTTGCTGACATACTTTCTTTTAACTTAGCCAAATGACCTTTTAAGATCTGTTTAAAAAATGATTAAGCTTTTGGGTTTGGTTGGCAAAAGTTGATAAATCTTATGGCAATAGATAAATATTGCTACTCTTGACTGTTTTAACATAAAAACATTTAGGTTTGTTGATTTTTTTTCAGCATAAAAGTTGTAGTAGTATTTCAACCATGCTTCTCTCTGTGTTGCTGCACTGCCAACCTTTTGCTGCTTTATTCCATTGTAGTGGTAGTTTTTGCCCAGCTAATTGCAAGTTTAGGAAACTGTTATTCAGTTTCGAGTATGGCATATATGTTCTCTTATAACCAGTTTTTGTTTAACTTGCCTTAGAATTTAAAAACTAATTTTGCCTACTTCTTTTAAATTTGATGCATATATTTTTAATATCACGTACTTTTGTGAGTTGAGGATGTTCCAAGAATTGTGGCCTTTTTTTTCCTGAAAACAAATATTTTGTATTTTATCTTGAAAGTCCTTATGGTTTTCCAACAAAATCAGGGCTTCAGGATACAGGGCTGCAGTCTTTAATACAGGAAAATGGATTGAATATTTAATAAAAGATGTTATTTGTCCTATTAGGTTTTGGAATTAAATTCATGAAAAAAAAATACAGAGTGCATATTCTTTGAGTGGCTCAGCTTTCAGCCTTCATGATTTAGTAAATTCATTAATGCTCAAATCACCTTAACAGTTTCCAATATATAAGCCCGGAATATACAAAAGCAAGGAAGAAAAATGTTTTGATAAAAGCTCTCCCAGGGTAATAAATAATAATTATAATAAAAGAAGTTACAGATATTGAAAAGGAAGTAAAACCCTTTCTTTTTCATCTTTACTACTTAGGAAAAATGGTTTAAATTGGCAGCAGAGTTGACTGTTAGTGATACAGGAACCTATTAGTGGTCAAAGCCACTGTAGGATTGAGGTCACTGATATTTTGGCAAGGGTGATGATGCAGGGAAATCTAAAGTACTAACGTGTGTGTCTTTCTCTGCATTGAAGCAGAGAATTTTTAAGTGATACATGGTACCTCATTGTATCTTTTTTCAGGATGTAAAATCTTGGATAATTTTAAGAGCACTGCAGAAGTGAAGAGCAATGGGCTCAGTTGTTGCATGGAGAATGCAGAAGCTTGAAAATTGAGGCTTTTTATACTTTCAAATATTTGTTGTGGAGCTGAGTTACAAGCATTGGGAAGTATTTAGGATATACCTTGCTTTAGTACTTAGAAATTTCAAAGGCAATTTGGTACCACATCAATTCTGTTAGATTGAAGTTTATTAAATGGTGAAGATCCATACTCTCCTGCAGGCCTTGGCCACGACTTTCCCCTCCTATTGCCCTCGGTCGCTAGGTGGGAGTCCACCCCAAAGCCTGGCAGCTCCGTCAAGGACAAGGGGCGCGAGATTTAGCAGTTACTTCATAGCACAATCACCACCAAAACCACCTTTAAAATAACGTTTTTTTTTGTTTCGGAGTAGCTGTTTTGGACACCTGTGGGCAGGGCAGCCATTTTAGAACAACTTCAGGGCGCTGTTTTTGGTAGTCTCCCCAGTACCAGCCTAATGCAGTGAAGCAATAAGGTGAGGGGGCTCCGTGGGCCTGCCCTTGGTCAGGCACAGGGCCACAGACCATGTGGTCACACATCCCAAACCAACTGCTATCAAGACAGAGAGCCTTGACAACCTTGCTGCACCTCTTTTTTTTTCCTTTTTTTTTTTTTTTCCCTCCCCCTCTCTTTTTCCTGACTTAAAGAAGGAGAATTTGGCACTTGTTTGCAAGCTTAGCTGCAGTGACAGCAGCTTTGCCATGTCCCTGGAGCGCCCCATGAAGCTGGACAACGACAAAGCTACAGCTAAAAGTTTGTAACCGGCCAGTGTTCCCCGGCTGTTGCTTCAGAGCGGGCAAAGTGTTGCAGTTCAAACGGCTGCAGCGACCTGGTTCAGGGACGGCACGGCGACCACCCCCAAACCACTCGGGCCATCAGCTAGTTGACACCAATGTGGTGGACGGCAAAATGGCCTTTATTGATGGGTAACAAGGTGTTATATAGCTAGGTTTACAACGTCACATCCGTCTGCTTACACCATAGACTAAACACTATTGGCTAT